GTTACCTGTATAAAAGACACCTGTCCACACACTCAGTCTATCAGACTCCAACTTCTCCACTATGGGCAAGACCAAAGAGCTGTCTAAGGACACTAGGGACAAAATTGTAGACCAGCACAAGGCTGGGATGGGCTACAGGACAATAGGCAAACAGCTTGGTGAGAAAGCAACAACTGTTGGTGCAATTATTAGAAAATGGAAGAAATTCAAGATGACTGTCAATCTCCCTCAGACTGGGGCTCCATGCAAGATTTCGCCTCGGGGACTATCAATGATCCTGAGAAAGGTAAATGGACTGTATTTATATAGCGCATATTTCACAGTGTGTTACACTGGCCAAAGCGCTTTACAGGCGATCATACTCCATTCACCCATTCACACACCGATGACAAGAGGCTGCCGCACACTGGCGCCAGTTGAGCCACCGGGAGCAATTTGGGGTTCAGTGTCTTGCTCAGGGACACTTAGGCATGCGGGGAGACCTACACTGCCGATTTACCAAGTTCCAAGTCACTTACAGAGAATGGACAGTTCTGTAATTTTCATCGTAGGTACACCTCAGCTGTAAGAGACAGAATCTACAAAAAAAAATCCAGCAAATCACATTGTTAGATTTTGAAATAATTTACTTCAATTTTATATCATGAAAGAAGTATTTGATCACCTACCAACCAGCAAGGATTCTGGCTCTGACAGACCTGTTAGTTTGTCTTTAAGAAGCCCTCCTATCTTCCACTCATTGCCTGTATTAATTACACTTGTTTGAACTCGTTACCTGTATAAAAGACACCTTGTCAGGTTTGCCCGGCTGCACCTGCCTTTCTCACTCCCCTCACTCTGTTTTTGCTCCCTTACCTTGATTACCTTATCCGACACGCCTGCTTCTTATCCCCTGATTACCACCAGCTGCACTTGATTAGTTCTCCCTATTTATTCCCTGCTCTACGTTCACTCCCCTGCCAGTTCTTTCTAGTATCATCAGGCCCGTTTGTTTCTCGTTGTTCTTAGCTTTATATTGTACTCACGTTTTTGTCGCCCTAGCCCCATTCCAGTCTTGTGCCCCATTGTCTCAGCCTCCTCGCCTCTGTCGCTTCTCCGGACCATTGACCTCCTCAACCCCG